TCTATCATTTGCATGGGGTTATTTGAGAATCCTTTTAAAAATATTATATGAACAGCCGCACATAATGAGTGCGACTGTTTCCATTCTTAAGATTCAGTGGGTAATAATTTATTGCCACTGAATTTCGCCACAATGTGGTCATTTATCTGGCACAGAAGCGAACGACAGACTCGGATGTATTTTCGAAGTCAAGGGATACCAGGTTTGCACAGCTCCGGTGAGCAGGTCAATGTTCTGACAGTTGACTGAATGTGGAACTGTGGTCAGCATTTCTACTCTTCCAGAGTAGAATCATGCTTGCTCTTTTTGGGATAACGCATCGAAATGCTGTTGGGATAACTGATACTCCACCAAATATGGAAAATGCTAGGCAGAATACGGCAAGTAGAATTGCGCGTACATTCGCCATAGGAACGAAATTCAAGTAGAAGAATCACGAGAATCGAGGAGGAGGGGACTGCGGTCGCGGAAGCTAGGCAGTCAATGGCGGGCTCCGTTAGTCGATATCGACCGCCTGAGGAACACCCATAGGATGCAAGATGGGCGAGAATCGAAAAGAGTAGATGAGACGCAGATTCGTAAGGCGTATGAGACACCGAAAACGCGGCCGCCCAGACATGCTGCAGAACCAGACCTGACAGAGGTAAAGGAAAAGCGATGGCATGCGAACGACCTTTAAAGGGCGAATGTGTGTAACGGTGATACTATTGATTGGGAGGCATGCAGTTTGTATTCTTGTAAACGCGCTTGAAAAAAGGATCTTTTCGGAATTCGTCGACTCACTTTTTCCCTGTGTTCGAATCTGTCCAACGTTCAATGAATATCCGGGACCGTTCAGCAAGACACGTTTAGGTCTTCTTCAGTTTTTTTTTAAGATGCATATGTCAGATTTGCCTTCCTGTCCAATATTCTGTAACTGGTCAGTTGGTATTTTGCACAAAACTACTCCACACGAAAGGCCTAATTTCTGTCACTGATATCATGAAGGATTGATAAAAAAATCTGCATTAATGTCCTCCTGGACCAAAGGATTTTAAACGTGCTCATTAAGCCAGCAAGTGCGTGAAACCTGTAACTGCTCAGTACTGCCTGAAGCGCACGAGTGCTCAACAAATTACTAGAAAACACCACGAATCACCACTGTGCACATATTGTTGGGATAGATTTGCACAAGTGACCAGTCATTGAACAAGCTGATCAAAATGGTCGATCACACCCTGATTAGAATAAACTTTGTGCTGCAGACCTATTAGATTTTTGGTGGATAACTTTTTTAACATTATTGCCATACATTTGTAAGGCAAAGTTCGATTCCTAGTAGACGAACAGTATAAAATTCTAGGCACATGAATTATCAAGGAAGCCTGAATACGATGCGTCCTTGTTCGCTTCTTATTGCTTTCTTGTTCTGCATCGACCACGTCGCACGGTTGGTAGCCGTCGGTGTCCACAATTGGTCATCCATATTTAACAATAATCCGTCAAAGAACTGGGTTGTCCTGGTCGCTGGTTCCTTCACCTGGGAAAATTATCGACATCAAGTAGGTTTCTGTCGTAATTTTTGTTGGCTTGAGTCTGAAACTTTCATTTAAATTCCTGTAATACATGCTCATGAATGTGGAAGCTTGTGATAATAGTCCCCTAAAACCGTTGTGTCTTACCCAGTTTTCTCCATGGCTGTGGTATTACACTGGGAAAGACGGCAGATATAAGCCACATCCAATGTACACGCCGATGAACACACTAGTGGACACACGTTTCGTGGTCTGTATTCGTTTTCGTCAGTAGTTCCATGTCGTAAAACGATATTATGTTTTGGGTGAGGTTCGTTCTCCGGTCCCAATAAACTCGGATGTTACTGAGCCGCATAGTGTGTTTCACGTTAATCGGAACCCGACTTTCGTCGCCTATAAATGTTTATTGTGGCTTTAGGTTACGAAAAATCACGCTCTGTGAGTGAAAGGTATGGTGTTGTATAAAACATGAATTCGATGATCTTCCAGCCACCACCAATCATCTGACCTCACATTGTAGACTGATTATATTAGAGTAACGCTCACGAGCTCCGCAGTCACGTAGTCTAGACTTGCCTTTTGTATGAACCAGGACTCCGAAAACTCAACAAGGACCACTGGCGTACCAACAGCATTGGCTGTTACGGTCAAAGCACCGAAATTTCTAGGCAATGTAAGCGGATAAATCTATGCTGCTTCTTGAGATCAAGTTGCGTGTATTTGGAAGAAACATATAGAAATTCATCTTCGTCAAATTCGTTCGTCAGCTCGTCTAGCATTTACTTGGTGTTATATGAGAATCGTAATGAAAGCTTTACACATAATCAGCGCATGTGTATCCTTTCGTAAGATTCAGTGGGTAATAATTTATTGCCGCATGATTTTCGCCGCAATTCGCCTATCTACCTGGAACACAATCGAACGACAGATTTGGACGTATTTTCGAAGTCAATGGATACCAAGATCGTACAGATTCGGTGAGCAGGTCGTTGTTCGGACACGACTGAATTTAGTACTTCAGTTCACAAAAGCTCTTCCGGAGTAGAATACTGCTTACTGTTTTCGGGATAATGCATCCAAATACTGTTGGGATAAATGATACTCCACCAAGTATGGATTATCCCTTACACTCTGCATGCCTTCTTTGATCTCCATTCCTAACAATGCCTGTTATTTAAATTCATGTGTCATTTGTGTTCTCATTCAGGCGGACGTTTACCGCGCGTATCAAATCGTGCGTAAAAACAAAGTTCCAGTGGAGAATATAATCACTTTCGCCTACGATGATATTGCAAACAATCCCAAGTAAATATCGCGTACAACTTTCGCTGTATGCTAAGAATAGGAGTGTAGCAACGCCCTATGTTGTTTGGTTGTAACACGCCTCATTGTTGTTTCGTATTTGTCGTCTATGTTATTGTTGCATATGAGTTGCAGGCAATTATGGCGTTTCATGGTTGATGCCTTTTCATGACTGTAGACGCAATAGAACCCTGATGCAAGCAGCACCTTCTGATGACGATGTTGATGATGAGGACGATGATACTGATGTGTACTCGTTTGAGTACCGGTTTCCGTAGCCTGAAATGAAACACACTAATATCTAGATGTTCGAATTCATCAGGCAGCCGATGATTAGGTGCAAATAGTAAGTAGTAAATCTAGTAAGCTAAACATTTTGTACTGCATCCGGAGAGTAGAATGTTCCCCCTAACTGCAATAAAATTTGACTCCTGCCTGGAGACGGTAATAATGGTAAATCATTCACTGCCCAGTCGTACTTTCGGCTGTGGCATCTTTAAGGTGTCTAGGTGTCATGAAAATCGAAGATTGCACGAGGTCTGGACTACTGCCATGTTTCCCAGGCCTAGACAGGAGAGGTCGGGAGTCAGAAGTAGGGCTGGAACCACGGAACTTCTGGTCAGTAAATTCGCGCTTTATCAACTTGAGCCATCTCGCTTCCTGTCCACTCGAATAACATTCACGGGCTCATAAAATCTACTACTAGTGGTGTTTAAATATAAATTTACCCAAAAGAATTCGACTGGCGCACCAAATTTGTACTTTTCTTTGTTGTGCACTCAACATGGATCATTGTAGGATACCTAAGTTATTTCTGCGCAAAGGATTATTAAGTGTGACGAGATCTACACTTATCGTCGTGAAAATCTATATTCGAAAACGAGCCAGCGAACCCAGTTCGAACTGAATTGTGAGCCTTTCATTTCTTTCTATCCAACCTACATGTTAATTTCCCTCAGAAGACCCATTGCCACATTTCATTCTTTTATTCCAGAAATCCGTTTAAAGGCAAAGTGTTCTATGACTACCGGCACAAAGATGTGTACAATGGGCTGGTAATTGACTACCGTGGAATAGTAAGTTCGTGTTCTGGGGCGCAGCAAACCGGTCTATTCCTACATCAGTTCATCGTGTAACACGATGTGCAAGTAAAATGACACCGTGGATCAAAACACAATATAAACCTTAAGGCAGATAAATAAGTTTTACAATATCACAGGATGGTCAGTCCACTTGGACGAACACCAGTCATAAGGTCGTAGAGAACTCTCGGGCAGCCCGTGACCGAGTTCAACCTTCTGCTTTTGGCCTATCAGGTAGGTAAGCGTTCTTGTCAAAAGAACCACGAAATGTGCACGAAGACCAACAGTGCCGAATAGTTTCTCAATGGAAGTATCCTGTGATATCCTAAGTGATGCACCAACAAAACCTAGCGGCTTGTCCAAGACAGCACATTCAGCTGAAGAATATCATAACGTAGACGTTCCACTGTGATTCAGTTGAGTACTGATGAGTGATACTCGCTTCAGATAGCGGTTATTTCTCACGTATGTTGCATTCCTTTGCTACTGAGGTAGACGAGAGCTCCTTGATAGTGCTTCCTGGTAGTCCATTTTCACCTCAGCCGCTAAAGCTAGGCTTGAGGAGTAAATCCAAATGCTATGCTTGGCAAACAGACCAACAATCACATTATTCAGTTCTCAGCAGGCAGCTATCATCGTGAGTAACAGATGAGTATGGACGGAGTGCACATCTTACATTTGAATTATTTCTTAGGATGGAAGTGAATGGTTACTGGGGGGAGAGTGAGAGTGAGACACACCATTGCCACAAGAATAAACGATCATGCAGTTTTATCCGTTTCAGAATGTCATACGGGATTATTTCGTGAAAGTAATAAAAGGCGATGATAAAGTTGAAGCCAACAACAAGAAGGTCTTAAAATTCTGAGCTGGCGCGGAAGTAGATATTGTTCACGTACTTGTTGCTCACAGCCATAATTTTGGTTTTGCAGGTCACAGTCTTAGCATTTACGAAATGTGTGTCTAGTATTCTTGATCGTTGAGCCTTCTTCAGAAGCATCATCTTAAGCCCCTCAGAATTTAGCCAAATTATTTGCTTTACTCCAAGAACAACCCGGTTTATCCATTTCTGACTATGGGTTATTATTGAATCATAAGCATCAATCGCCACAGTTCTGAAATTTAAAAAAATATTCAGGTATGCGCAATTGTGAATGGTCAAATATCTCCTTGGTTTTGAATTACTTGAGGTCCGCCGATCTTGGTTTTCTGGCATTCGATAGTTGTTTTAGCTCACGGTGTAGAACAACGCAAATAAACATGGTTGTTTTGATAATTGAAATCGAAGTCTACTTGCGGCATTTCGATTCATGGCTGTATCTCAAATATATTTCCAGATTCACCCGAAATATTCTCAGCTTTTGTAAAACCTGTCTCGCATATGTGGGTTGGTAACGTCAGAGTTATTCTTTCGAAATTCCTACCACACCTTCTTGACCCGCACATGACGAGATCGGAAGCGTCGGCATAGAGAGACAAGCCAGGAAACGAGGCACATGTTTAGCGAGTATACACGCATCGGCAAACTAATTTGGTTCTTTCGAGAGACTCACCCGGAACCCAGCTGAATCTCTCGTTTATGATGTTCTCAGTCAACTGAATGTGCCGCACCAGGCCGCCTTATGTTTCAGTCGCCACGATATTTCAAATATCGCGATACATGTGTATTTGTAATGTACTACTCAATAGGTTGCTGAAAATCCATCAACAGCCCATGACCTGTTTCGCCCTTCCACTTAGGGCTGGCTCATCAGGTAGGCGCAGTCTCCGAGTTTCCGTCAAACTTATGTTCTACTTGGAACCAAATTGCACGAAATTAGCCAATATACACTCATCTGCAAACTAATTTGGTTATTTCAGTGCCTCGTGGTCTGTTCGGTCGCCATTTCAAGGCGATGGTCTTGTAGCTGTTCATTTAGACTTTATTCTGAGATTTCGCCAGACCTTCGAGTAGCCCGCAGTGTTGACATCCCGCATTCACCCTTCCAAAGCACCCAGTTTGACAAACGCATTGTTGATCTCACCCGCTAAGAGGTAAAGGATCTGTAACATTTTAGTTGCTGTCGCCCAGATTGTGAGTTTTCCGCTGCCTTTCACGGACATTACATCCTGTTGTAGCAAGCAAGTTTTGTGCTAAACCACATTTTCAGACAGAATATTTTGTTGGGGAATATTCAAAAGAGATATTTTTGTTACATGAGATATTGTGAGTCTAATCGACTGCATCTTGTAATTTGCTCAATTTTGAACAAAACCTCATTTCAGGTGAGCTCGACGTCGTAATTCTGCTTTAACCAGGTTTGTTAACAGATCTAATAGGTAAATGGACAAAATGTTGTTTAAAAGCTTTTACAATACTAAGTCGAAGAAATTAATTTTTTCGGATACTGCCTCTTGTTAGTTGGGATAGAGAACGAAAGGGACATTGTCGATAGAATGGGTGATCAAAGGTGATAAACTTATCTGCACAACAAACAAGTTTTGTTAACTAGGAGAGCATTCGCGAAAACAAACTCCCAAAAGTCAAGCTACAGCACAACAGCAATTCAGAAACAACCAATCAGAATGTAATACCGAAACCAGAAATCGGAACGAGAGCCAATCGAATGTGGATAGCCAGAATGCAGCACATTAGAAATCGGTAACCAATCAATCAGATCATGAACAAAAGGTCTTCAGACCGAAACTACTTAAAGCAGCAATCGAATTCAGGGGATGCCAGCCACGACGTAGCACAGTTCGAAATAGACCATTTGGACCCCGAGAAGTGTATGCTCCCTCCAGCCAGTCACAGATGTATAATATCAGACGAGTATGGAGTAACATCCAGCCAAACCACTCACTGATGATATCACTTCGGTTGGTGATGAAACATTTGAAAGCTGATCACTACGAGCAGAGAACAGAGGAACACCATCCTGATCGACGAGCAACAAACTGGACATTACCAGATCAGATTTGCATAAAATCATATCGCATCTTTGATATCCGTGTTTAAAATGTAGGATCGCCCAAAGTTGATCATAATATTTTTCGTCAGTAGTGTATATTTCATGTAGATATTTCAATTAACAGGTAATCATGTTCACAAGAGCATCTTTTCAAAAGGGTTGAGTGTGACCGTTCCAACGGCAGGAAGATAGGACCTGCTAAAGTGGAGCATTACTTCCCACCATCTTCGTGCATTAAAAACCATAAGAACCATTACTTCCAACCATCTTCGTGCATTAAAAACCATAAGAAGCAACCAACCGGCGTGCAGAGAATCGAACTTTCATCCCCGTATTCATGCTGCCATGCAAATTGCAGACTAGTGGAAGTTAACTTGGCTACTGCTTATATCCAGCAGCGTGCACAAAACAATATTCTAAACTACGTGTTTGCTATGCTTCCATTTCCGCGGGATTTTTGTTGTGTTTTCCTATCTGTGAGAACGCCAGCCAATAAGCTACTCTTCAAGACCACTTTAACCTTTCTGCTCACCAACAGTGGTCCTAATGACAACGTGTTCATCTTCTACTCTGGACATGGTGGGTTCTCCTATATTGAATTCCCGCATGAAGAAGTGAGTTAAGTTAATTTTGCTAACCACGGTTGAGCACGCCGTTGCTTCAATTGTGAGCTATATAGTGAATTGATTGAGAAGGCTTACGTAAACATTCTTGTGCAATGACATTGGTGATTGATTATAAAAGGGAGTTTATAATCAAGCTGTTCTGCACATCAACCGAAAAATTGAATACGTGCTGCGATGTTCGTATGTCACTCTCAAGAGTGACTTCCCCACGAATTCAAGCTTGATAGGTCTCGTCAAGCTTCTTCAAGTGACTTCGTCACACAGATTTTGTTTTAGAAGTTAAAGGTCGATCGACTCACATGATTTCGCGGTCGATCCATTCAGACTGCAGAGCAAACGGAGGTACCATAAACAAAGAATCAGGTCGTGTACGGTCACTCAGGATGCGTAGAAGATACGAAGAACGCGTCAGCCGAATTCTTCTCCACAAGACAACATACTGCTTTTCGCTTCTAGAACGACAGCATGAATCTTGAATAGTACGAACTTTTTGTATTTATGTATGAGAAACCATTGTGTGATGAAAGGCCGAGAAGCAATGTACAACTGTTCCATCCTTATTGGGAATCATCAGTGTTACGCTTGATAGATGCAACGTGTAACCGTTCGGCCACGAGCGACCAACCAGACGCCCGATTTATCCGCACTTAGTCAGGAGTCATCATCGCCCATTCATTAACCAAATGATCCACATCACTGGTGACTGACTTATCGACTGACTCAGCTCGAGCTCACGAGAATTTTTGTTCTTGTCTTGCGACAGATGTATGCAATGGAGTTGATGGATACGCTCGCCTACATGCATTCAAAAAAAATGTTCAACAAATTGGTGCTGTACGTTGAGGCTTGCAACTCTGGCTCTATGTTTCGCAATGTTCTTCCTTCAAATGTGGGAAGTAAGTAGCGTAACTTTCTGGCTGATTCTTGCATGGATCCTGTGAAATAGCATTCATGTTGTTAGTTTTCAAATCGGCGCTGACCAGTAAAACAGAACGAAGCTTGGGAACCAAGCTTGGTTTCGAGCTTCGTTTTATATTGTTCACTTATCGACTTTTGTATGGAAGTAGCCCATGACTCTAAGCAAGATGCGTTTGTCCGATGACAGCATAAAGTCGAGCCTTCATCGAATAATGTGGCTTCCGTTGCTCAACCAGTATCATACGGGTGGATAAAAATCATTGCGTAACCGGTACAACCCCTTTGATATTTAATGTACTTCTACAGCAACCACAAATGCCATTTGGATAACGTCAGTGTAAATTTTAAATGGATTGTACATCTTTCATTAGAAGTACACTTCAACCCAGACACAATTGTGGCGCGTCTATCTTCGACCTTTCTCGTCAGTGGTCATTTTCCAGGGGGTTTTACCGTGAAAAGCAGATTATATATTAACATTCATATTTCGTTTTGACGGCCTGAACTAACTGAACCCAGATAAATGTCTAGTTCATGAGAGTGTTTGGCATCTTCTGCCCAGTCTGGGTTCAAGTGTTGATTAGGTTTCCGGGAAGGTCAAGGACAGCGTCTACTTGATTCGCCACATGAAGCGTGAAAACCATTCTGTTCCGTTAAGTAAATGTCAGCGACCTTCTGAGTAGAGTGTTTGTTCTACACGTCTCGCAGCTTCATTAGTTCTCTAAGTCACAAGAACCGTTCTTCGATAATTTAGCTCAATATTTCACACATCTTGATATTGACCTGTACTATTTGTTGTCTGAACCCCAAAACCTGCAGTCTACGTGACAACATCATCCAAAGAAGGTGAAGCTAGCTTCTCTATTTATTGTGATGACAAGGATATCGATGTTTGTCTAGCGAACGATTTCTCGTATGCCTGGCTTTCCGATTCGGATCACGTGAGTTTACACAGAACTGTTACAGATAAGCCTGTCAGTTGTGAATGGGTAGTTCGGTGGTATTCAGCAGCCAGTGGTAGTCCATTTGATTCTCAAAATAATTTATTATTTTGGTTTCAAGCATGAAGAGGATTTATGGCAATTGAGGCATCACGGCCGCCCGTTGGTCCCAAACTACTCAATCCATTGGTTGCATGTCCAAAAATTTTCACTACCCTCCTAATCAGGTTTGTCTCTGATCTTCAAGGTGATATGAAAGAGACTGACAAATGTCTGGGCACCATCGGTGCCATTCGCCCTCGTCGGTGGAGACCGCCTGATTCCCATCGTGACTGGACTTGAGTCGATAGTATCGGAGTTCTTGTTATCATTTTCGTTTCAGATCGCCTGTGTAATTATCTGGAGCTGTAGGCGCATTTTGATCCATTCTATTTAATAGGGCACTAATTGGACATTGAATGCATGCAGGGAAGTGTCAATGGTGAATACGGATGTTGACAGTGATGACGTTGATGTTGATGATAATAATGATGACGATGATGCTGGTGGATCTCCTGAACGCCTTCGTCTCAATACATCTGTCGAAATGAATCAATATGCCATTTACGTTCAGGCCGTCTGTTTCTATCCAGATTGTCTGACTCGGTCTCGGATGTATAAGTATCTCGGGTGTATGCTGTAAGCTAGCCCTAGGTTTTCCTTCCTGTCCCATTATCCTTTAGTTTACCACTACAAATAATTTGAAATTCTTGTATGGCATTCCATCATAAGTATCTTATTCCGTTGATGACGATTATGATGATGAGGATGGTGGTGGTGGTGACAATCAGAAGCATGGAGCACCAAATCCTTAAGATATGTTATATGCGCATGTATGGTGACCGGAAACAGCGAGGCGTCCACTAATTCACCTGCAGTATGTCTCATAACATACCTCGGTAGTCTTAACTCTAGTGATAGTTTCAATGTTTCCCCACAGCGGATTCGTCTAAAAATTGCGTAGGCTGATCTGTTTGCTTCACATAGCTCCCCGTTGTCATTATCTCCCACCCGCACGCAGTTTGACATAAAACGGCGTACACTGGAGCAACAGTACGAAGCAGTGAGAAAGTGTACAGTGTTCAGTCACGTGATGAAATACGGTGAATTGGTGAGTCGCACAATGCTACAGAGAGATTCATTTGGGCCACTTGTGAAAAGTCAAACTGTTATGAAAATGAGTGTATGTATCGAGATGAGAGTTGTATTTGGCTACCTTGGATCAGTGAGGGTCAATGTTGCAAATACTTGATTAGGAACTTCAGGTTCCATAGACCGAGTTCAGCAAGGTTGCCAGTCCAGGCATCTAGTTATCCAAACCTAGCCGGTGTCACTTTCCGGAAAACCAAGCGATGGCGTCTGTCCAGCGGAGCAAAAGTGAGTCGAGTTTCTATTAATCGTCTACAAGTTTCCCAGAGGATGAATAGATTTACGCGGTGACGGAAACTTCCATCTGAACAATTGACACGTGATGTGGTTTCCTGTGATGAGTGCATTTGACCTGAACGAGCAAGTTTAGGTGATAATACTAGTGATTCGGTGGATATCAGTGCTATACACTGTTGTTTGTGAGGTGTTTTCGTAACTGCTGTTCATTGATCAGCGGGATTCATCAACACTAATACATGAGTGCTAAGTTGTTATATTACGATCGTTTAGTGAGTTGCTCTTTCATTGTATGTAACAATATGCTATCTTGGTTGATAATGAACTAACACGTGTCTATTTATTGTTCATTTCAGGAGATGGGCAGTCTCCCAGTTGGGAAATTTCAAGGTCATTATGATCTTCTGATGCACCGAAACGATGAAGCGATAGCAGTATGTGTTCAGCACTATGTTCGATATTTTGAATTGTCTATTAAAACAGTTATTTCCTACGCCACCGGATGTCTAAGGAACCGAGTTACCACTTCACATTCCAAAGACAGTCTACGAAGTTGTCACCTCAGTGAACCAAAACACCTGATATCCTGGTAATCATCGATGGAGACCGCCAATTGACAGCTGACTCAATAATCTCAATTAAAATATCTTTTGATTGAAACAAGAGTTACCTAGATAAGCCAATATATGTGGCTTCTCACAAATCTCTAGATCGATCGATCGATAGATAGATAGGCAGCCAAACAGACAGACAGATGTATAGATTGATAGAATAGCGGGTAATCTACTTGAACACATCAGACCGAGCGAATCGTAGACCAAACACATCGAGCGTCTGGTTAATGCCTGTAGCGTTATCAACGATAATCAAGCTGATGTCGGAAACCTATCAATCGAACTGAGAAGCGTTTCAACGATTGCAATCACTCGTCGATTTCATGTGACACCCTCCGACGGAACATGGTGTTTACCACTATCCATGAAAACAGCTCAGAGGTTATCAGAGCTAAATTCAAGTTGCTACATGAGAGTTAAGACCCCGCTTCAGATATTCAGCGAAATGCATGGAAAGTTTAGTGATGTTCAACGTACCCCAAACTGATGCACAGTAGAATGAACTTCGTCAGTAATTTGCGTTAACCTTGCAACCGAGTGATTTTACGTAGTTTCTTCTTAATAGTGAGTAGTCTAGTAAGTCAACTCCTTCAATCAGCATTGACGGAGCTCCTGTTTACAATAAGTGTCGTTCAATTGTTTTCTTGGTTCCAGCCGAATGCTGTAGATAGAAAGCCCTCTTACCAGGCGCATTTATTTTCAAAGTCTCGACGCCTGATGCTGGCCGCAACCGAGGACGAACATGAAACTGCTTTGCGAAAGCTGCACCGTGCACTTCAGGTTTGTAGTTTTCTTTTCTTATCCAGCTGATCTAAAGAAAGGAAGTGAATGCATAATCAAAGATCGTTTTATGTAAGTGTCTATTTGTGTGGTGGGAATAGGTAATAAGCATGCATTGCAACAGGTAAACGTCATCGGTTTAATAATTTATCTGCCCTTCCTAGAAGCCACACAAAAATCCAACGTGATTTGTGCAGATGTGCAAGAAATCTATAATAGTCTCTCTAATACCTAACACAATTATTGTCTCGGTTATTTCAGCTTGGCCAAATCGTCAAGGAAACTTTTCGCGAGATCGTCGTGGATGTGACAACCCACAATATACCAACGCCAACGGGCTTGTCCAAGAGGGATGAACTCGTGTGTTTCCAGGCAGTATTCCATCAAATCCGGACGCACTGCTTCACAATTCAGCAGGCAAGTTGTCTTCTTGATACACGGAAACAAGGATGTGTAAAAATATACATACATTACTAGCCAATGCTTCCATCTACGGCGTCATGTTCATGTGGCAACATGGTGTCCGTTAGTTCAACATTTTGTAATCTTTTTTCCATCATAACCCGTTACCACTAGGGCGACTGATGGTAGGTGGAAATTGATGTAGATAAATCGAAATTTTGAAAATCGAAAGTTTTATTGAGTAAGCATACGGAATTACCAAGATTGACAGCAGCTGGATGAGGCTGCCTGACTTCAATTCAATTCAGTTTCATTCAATTCAATTCAATTCATTTCAGTTCATTTCAGTTCATTTCAGTTTAGTTCAGTTCAGCTCAGTTCAGTTAAGTTCAGTTCAGTTCAGGTCACTTCATTTCAGTTCATTTCAGCTCAGTTCAGTTTATTTTAATTTTGCTATAGTTAAACTCAGTCTAGTTCACTTGGACCCTTTGTGAACTGAGTTGGAACCAGCATAACTCCACCACCAGGAAAAGTTGATAGATTGATGTGAAGCGACACAGGACAGTAGTGAAATGCGGTTTCCTTGTTTGTGAACGGTCCCTGTGTTCAACACTGCTTAGGAATATAGTGAAGTGCTATTCGGCCTGCAAATGTGGCTGGAAGCGTCAGGTTTGTTATTAAAAACCCCACAATTTTGAGGAACATTTACCGAACAAATCGATGGCCATCCGAGAGATAGCTCGAACAATAGGTGCGGAAAAACTGTAAAAGTACAAGCCCAAGATGATATCCATGACTAATGAACACGGGTCAGTTCATATGGATACCGCTGTTTTAATTTGAGTGTGCATCGTGGCTTCAATGTTTTGGCAACCGCTTTCAATCTCTGTTGACTAAACCTCTGGTTATTCCGTATAGGTTTGTATATATCTCTCTTTTTGATCAACAAAGCCAGCCCTTTTTTTGGAAAACTCGTTCGATTCTACCTGCAAGTATTATGCTCGAAAGGCCACGGATGCCAGCTATTGCGCCCTGTGACTCATTAGGTTTCGACCCTCTATACTACCTGTAATGTGCTCTTCTACACTGTTCCGTAGAGGAGAAATTCTGCAAGCAATTTCACTATCTAGAATTGATCAAGGAGAAACACGCAAAAACACTTTATCAGTGTCACGTTGGTCCGAAAAGCATACCGTACCATTGTTGGTTCCAAGTATCTTGCAATATTTTTGGGTCCCACAAAACCAATCTGTACAGAGAAAGTCCAATAAAAAGCACAGGCCTGCTACTCGTTCGAATGTTTTCATACGATTTGATCTAATGACGGAGGATATTCAACCGAAAAGATTATCAACAAGTCAGCACGCCTGGTGGATTTCGAAATTCCCAAAAAAATCTCGATTGGTTACACTTCCTCCACATCCAGGATCTGCGGCTTTTGCAACCGGAATTCCATCATATCATGAACGTTCGTTACCAATTCAAATACCTCACAAATGGCACAGCAGAATTTACTACATAAACTTGACAAAACATATGGTTTCTGAAAGGTTTTAGACAGCTGACGACCAGTTTCGCCATGCTTGGTACTCATCAGGTAGGCGCACTTTCTTTGACATTGTCAGTGTTGTGTTCTAGATGATCATTGAGTGGAAGTAAACCATTATTAACGGTACCCTTAAGTCCAATGTCGAAACCAAATTTGTTTACAACCGGAAGCATTTGACAAAACCTGTCACGTCCAAGTGGAACATGAGGTTGACGAAAGCTCTGGGACTGCGACTACCTGATAAGCCTCAAGCCGGGTGAAACCGATTATAGTTTTACTACGTATTTTGTTTCTTAGGATTCACACAGTTTCACTCATCTGCTACGTGGCTGAAACTTCGCGTATTCTTCAAGTAGCATCGTGCCAGTCATTATCAAAACGCTTCGGAACGTCCAGGATTCTGAAAGACCGATACTCACCAACCCCTTGCACAAATACCAGTTTTAATCGCGGACCTAATATTCACTATACATTCAGTGTGCCCCACTGACGATCTTCCCCACTATTAAGCATAATGGACAGGTTTCACGAGAATGCGGAAGCCTGTTGGTGGACGTTAGAAGGAATCTTGTGTGAACGCACCTTCCTGCTCGCTTGAAAGCATTCTCAGACGTCAGTGCAAAACTATGCTCAAAATCTCGGATCCTAAGTCTTTCTTATGCGCGGCGAATCTTTCACTCTCATGATTAGATTGACTTCCTAGCTGAGATCGCGTTATCTTTCTGTCTTCAGGTCTCCGAGGTAGCCCAGCATTCATCTCATTTAATGGAACTGTGCAAAGCCGGATACGAAGTTGAAACCCTCATCGACTCTGTCCACAACATCTGTTCCTAACGGATACGCAACGTGTTTTGTGAATTTGGCAAAATATAATGAATTGCAGCTGTTCTGTATCGTGATTTGCCATCGTCAGGAAGCGTTGATTGTGTTTTTCCATCAAGCTAGCCATCAAACGATAGTTCGGTAATAGCCAAAACCATTTAGGTAAAACCGCCGGGTTTCTCAGGCCATGTGGACACAACAAGACGCCTCCACATATCTGACGTACCAGTGTACACTGGACGAACAAAAATGGGCCAGTCTGTAGTGGATAATCCCAGCAAATACCAGTTCAAAGTAGTTTTAATCAAGTGAGTAAAATGGGTGAGATTATACAACTCACAGTTCGTTTGTACAGTTAGGTATTACCACCACAATAAATCATCTTGGGATTTCTTGGAATGTTCCTAGATACTTTCCATCCCGTCGTAGTCTTGTAAGGTAATCACCGCTCGTTAATTCACCGACTGCGCAACTCTACATAGCGAGAATTGAACACGCCTTTGACGGGGTACTTTCATTTAAACCAAAGTTATTCGATATGGAGAGAAGAGGAATAAGCTGCGATTTAGTGAGAGATAGAGAGTGGTACAATTTGAGTAATGATAAGTTACAATGAAAGTACTAATATACACTGGTCAGAAGGATCACCATAGAACTTCCCCCTAGAGCGTTGCATAAACAAAATAAACGCTCGATAAGGAACGCTACTAAGATATGTAACTGTGCCGCTTCGCTGGCCATGTCACTTTTCTACCAGAACG